TTTTCGGCGCATTGCATCGAAGCACAATCGAGTGAATTGCTTTCTCAGCGGAATTAGCAGTTAATGAGAGAAAATTCGCGCCGCTCTTTGGATGACACAGCTGCAAAGCAACCGTCATTCCTGTGCCGCTGCCTTCTACTTGCAGACCACTAAACCGTAATCAGTACCCTATAAAACAAAATCTTTTGTTGAATAGTAATAGCTTTAAGAAACGGTACACCGAAGGTTAGATGACAGAACTAGTCTGTACGTTTATACTGCTGCACGTCTTATTTATTATCGATGAGAATGTGCTTTTATTAAAAAAAAAGTTGTCTCCGTTTAAAATTGCTAACATGATTGTAGACGCAGAAACTATGAACTGTTTACGTTTTTATCTTACTACGAAAATTTCGACCGAACGACATCGGTGATCAGCAGTATGCATAACGAACAAAAGTGACACAACTGAACAGATAGCGGCAAATATGGCCTGTCCGACAACGACAAATTATTGTGTATAATTCAGTGTTGTCAAACGAGTCGACATTGTTGTTGCAACTTCTGACTTTGGGCGTATCAGTGCGCTGTCATTCTCTAATCACCTGTTTGATCTGATCGCTTTGACTGTCAGTCTTAGCATATTACTTTAGTGCAGTCAATGGTTCGTCGCATATGATCTTAGCGATGTTCTTTAGAGCTGGTTATTAGCGACATTCTGGTATAAAATATTAGGGTTAAATTAATGTATCCCAGCTGTCATGTTTGACGTAACAACTGCTACTTTTGAGTTTCCGGGAAGAATGTTGAGCAACTCTTTTCATCTGCTACATTGTTGTCGAAGAAGGTCAATCTTAGAGACATTATATTAGTCAGGACAATGGTTTAAGTATTTTTGCATCATCCTGCTGAAAAACTGCAAACGCAATATATTGGTTTTACTAGATGTTATAGATGACACGGACGCGCCCAATCCCACGGGCCTCCTTGAAGCTGAAAGCTGAATAGGTAGTCGATTGTTGTTAATTTCATTTGCAACGGCTGATTCACTTTCATCTATTAGGTTACCTATTGATCTACGCTCTAGCTTTAGTATATTATCGGCTACAGGAGAAGAGCTATAAAAGGGTCATCTAATCCGTATGGAGTTCCTGTGTATTGTCACGAAAATGGATGATTAATGCCTTCATAATGCGCATGTTAAACCAACATCTTTTGCTGGTGCACTCGACCATCAATGGAAATGGCTTTCTTGTCGCGTCCTGCATCATTAAAGAACTCTTGGCACTTTGTGTGAAAGGATGAGTTGAGGAGTTTGATTTCGTTTATGAAGCTTCGCTTCAGTTCTTTCATCCATCTCCGTACTTTCTTTGTTCTTTGAGCAAAGACAATTTTTTATTTTTATCGATGTTTTGGATTGGTTCGTATTTCAGAAGATT